GAGAGAGTTCAAATAGAGATGGTGAGAAGGGGAGAAAGATAGAGAAAGAGAAAGGGCTAGGGAAAGAAAGAGAGAGAGAGCTAGAAAGAGAGGGAGAGAGAGCGAGAGAGAGATAGAGAGAGAGAGAGAGAGAGCTAGAGAGAGAGAGAGAGAGAAAGAGAGTGAGAGAGGAAGAATGGTTGATGGGTGTCTGTTCCTCGGCTAGTCCTCCGGGCAAAGTGCTGTCTTTGCTGGAGCTGCTAGAGTAATTGGGAATGAGCAGAACATGAACACCTTACATTAAAAGATAATAGAGGCAGAAATTAGCACCAGCCCACATGTTGGTGCACCGTGTCGTCACAGCGCGATGCCTGTAATTAACTACACAAAAACCTCACGTTTGCGTTAATATACACTTGGATTCAACTAAATTCATGATCAGGTCCAACAACTTCGTAAAATCTATGGTCCACTGCTACCACAGGGGACTGTAATTCTCTCTTCCATCACTTCAAACAGTGATATCAATTTTCTACCTTATCGTCTTATATTAGACATGACATCGCCATTCAAAGTATTGTAGTAGAAACTCCTGAAATTCATAAAGAACTAATAAGGTTCAGATTGTATGAGACTCATTATCATTCCCACCTATACATCTGATTGCTGTATTTTATCATACTTTAAGAAGTTGGTAGTGCTGCCTTGTTGAGTCCTTTATCGCTGGCTTCCTTCTCTATGGCACGAACATTTAACGACTGTTGCCTTATTTATTTGTCAAATATAATTATATTTATCATTGGCAGAGAGTGTGCCTACTCTTGTTATTCATGTTTATGAATGTCTGATGAGAAGGAAGGGACAGCTTTTAAAATGTTTAATTGCCAAGCAAAACAGAGCACCAAAGTGCTTCCCCCTTCCTTCCCTCCATTCCCAGCCCCACTCTCCCTCAACACTATTAATAAACTCCCTCTTACCCAAAGCACAACCTCCCCACCCCCATACCACCCACTTTCCCTTAAATACGAACTAAAATTAAATCAAGAAAAGTTCATGAAAGCAGAGTCCAACAATGAGTGTGTGATGTTGAAATTTTAAAGCAAACTATTTTGCTTTGCAGAGTGACCGTGTAAGTTCATCTTCAGTGTTTGCTCACAAATGTGTTATTTTTCCCCCTGACTATGGCATATGTAATATATATATTATATTAATATACATGTGTGTGTTAAACGATATAGTGAAATCAAGCTCTTGTCAATTTTGGAGCGTGTTACTTGTATAATCATTAAGCTTGTCCATTTGGTTTGCTTTTGATGAAAAAAATACCCTTCCAAATTAAATAGATGATGAGATATTTGCATTTGAAGGATGTGGGAGTCACCTGGTGTCAGAGGTTAAAATAGCAAGAGAGTGGCTGCTAAAGTTTTGTAACTTTTAAAGCTGTTAAGTCTTTGACAACTATAAATTTCTTTTCTGTGCCTTTTAAAAGGGTTTTCTTGTAAATTCCATGCAGGAATGTCCTTTTAAATGGACGTAAAACTGTTTAAAGGTGTTGAACCCATAATGAAAAACACGACATTAATCCCGGGAGGGGTGGAAAAGTTTTGAATTCTTGTATTTCTTTATTTTGATGAGCGCCTCATTTCATCATGATGCATCACATATTGTTTTGCGGTTGTTTTAGTTTTGCAAAGGTTGTCAAGTAAACTGTGCATGTGGACAAAAGATTTTTTTTTTTAAATAGGTGTTTTCATGCTCCCATGACACAAAATAGATCATTGAGGAGGCAGGTTCCAAGCTGAGAGAAATACTATGTCACTGTGTGAAGACTAAAATACTCAATAAGAATTCTCACCACACAAGAATCAAACTCAGATTTTTTTCATCTGACAGGAAAGCGTCTTACCGTTACACCACAGACACCATTATAGATGTAGTAAACAATAGTTTGCTTGACTTATGTATTATTTAATTATGAGACTATTATGGGAAAAAAGGGCCAATTGTCATAGAAAGAAAATTGGGGTCTAGTGCTTTTCTTTCATGACGTTCTTTCCCTTTATAGCAATTTTAGAAATAAAGATTGTTTCATTTGACAAAACAGAACATGGGAAAGAAATTGATTTAAAAATGTAATTGTTGATATTTCGCGCCTGCATTGACTCGATACAGGTCTGTTAGGAGGCAGGCTGCTTTGACCATAATGTCTTTCAGGACCAACGCTGGCTGAGAGGGATAGGCCCCTACAACATCCCAGCAAATAGACACAGAGATACCCTATACAATCTCTCCTCTCAAGAATGGAACTCACATTTTCATCATACAACACAAAGAAGTACCTTACCTACACCATATACGCTGGTACAGTTGATTGAGACTATTTAAGACCGACTTGGATGAGAAACGAAAAGTGTTGCTTTCACTGCCTTTGCTTCCTCTAGCGGTCAGTCTTTATTCTGTTGCTTATGATGGCACAGTTAGTATTGGGCCAAAGTTTCCATTAAGTATCAAGTCAACAGTGGTCTCACCATGTTAAACTTTCGCAAAACTTCTTTTGAATACTAGACAAAAAATAAACCTCAACAAACTCACCCAAAAAATTATGTTGATAAAAATAGAGGGCATTACAATTAGTGTTTTGGTCTCTTTTGTGACACGGGACCATAGTGTTGAAGGTGCTGTTGTCCATAACCACCCATGAATAATTGTTATCGGCCTTGCTGTCTGTATGATTGTACACATGTCATGTAATTGATTTTTCACACCAGAATCAACATTATTTAGATGAATGAGGAGGAGACAGGATGCTTTGATCAGGCTTGTCTGTGCCTATCAAGTTTGTGAGGGTTACATGGAGAAAAATATTTGCACATTGAAGAATATGCCTACGCATATTAAAGACACTGTTTGAAATAGACTTCTCCACTTAGTATTCAAAATCGGATCTTTTTCGTGCAGTGGAGAAGAGCCTATAATTGATTTACAAAGGCCTGTCGATGTTGTCCACTTGTCACTGATATTGGTTACGTCATCATCATCATCATCATCATCATTATCACTACTGTTTTTCTCACCCGAGATCAGGGTGAAGGCCATGAACAAACACTTTCCACCTTTCCCTACCCTGATCCAGCCTCTTGGTGTTCCTCTGCGTCCGAAGGTCGGAATATTATGTAGATGTGTTTGCTCGTCATGTCTGATGACATTATAATGCGCAATAATTAAAATGTTTAAAGATGCAGTAATAACTTACCATTGTGTATGATGTTTTAATATTATGTAACAATTGTCAGTGACGTTTATAATGACATGCTATAGAAAATTGTTCTTGATGTGATAGAGTTATTATTTTCAGTGATGTGAGAATGCATTACAAACGTTGGTATTGTTAATGAAATTATACTGTTACTGTTGATGATGTGAATGGACGTTATGGGTAGTTGGCGGGTGCTCTGGAGTGGTTTGCTACTTCCAACATCTATCATCCTTATCCCCCTCCTTCCTCTTTCTTTGTTTGTGTTTGTTACTTTCTTGTAAAATCTCTAATCTTCGGCACTTACATGACCTTATTTTGTTCCCAGTGCCGTAAACCTCTTGCTAAAACTAAAGGATGGACGTAATTTTTGTGATGTGGGATGTTTAGTTTATCATTGATAGTATATTATGATGATATCATGACAAAATTATGTTATCAATTTTATTATGTCATAATGACACTTTAAAAACATATTTGATATTCTTTGTGCTCGAAACGTAGCAGTACATTAAAAAATAAATAGCGTCTCATCCAATTTGAGAGTTCTCCTACCGTATTGATTTTCTGAACGCACTGCTGTCTTTAACTGAATGATAAAGCTCATCAAAATATTTTAGAAATCGTCGTCCGGTTTTTTTTTCGCTCGTCCTTGTATTGTTTTGGATGTACATGTATATGGCGAAGGTAAATCTCTCTTGCTCTCTCTCTCTCTCTTTCTCTCTCTCTCTCTCTTTCTCTCTCT